TTATTTTGCCAGAATAATAAGAAATAACTTAAATTTTACATATAGAGGCCAGGATATTCTCAGTGGGATATGGAAATAAGAAAGTCCTCTGAATACAAATAGCTGGGAACCAGAGAAACTTGAAAGTCATTATGCAAATACTTGACCAGCCTGGGCTGTCCCCCACAGAGACTGCAGAGATACTTTCTCAAGTAAAATACAAACAAACACAAAAACAAGATTCTCAGACTGTAATCCTTAGAATAGTGTTGACTTACATGGCAAAAAAAAAAAAAGAAGAAGAAGAAGAATTATACAAATTGAAATTTTGGAGATAGAGCAGCCATAGGAGAAGGCAGTGTCACCACAAAGCAGGGACTGGAGTGATCCGGACAGGAGCCACGAATGCTGACTCCCAACATAGGATGGAAACAGATAGGGATAGATTTTCTCCTCCAGCTTCCTCAGAGGCTATGACTGGCAATACTGTCACAGTGTGACAGGAGAGTCCTTTGTTCTGTCTACATAAAAGTAGTAGAGAGACAAGAAGAAAGCAGTGACTTGGGTATTGATGGCCGTGCTGAGCTCCAGAGATTCACAAGACAAGTTTCTGGGTCCAGAGGCTTATAGCTCTAAGCCTTGGGGAAAAAAAAGAGGCTTATGGCTTCAAGCTTTCGGAGCTGGAGACTAATTGTTCTTCGTGGTCAAGCTGAAACTCTTTGTTCTGGGTTCAGAGTACCAATCCCTACTGGCTAGGGTTGCAGTCACCTAACTCTCGCTATGCCTGAGTGTAGGCATATACCTTTCACAACCTCCCCTTTAGCCCATGATCCACCAGAGGTGATTGAAAAACAAATGTTATTAAGATATGGGGAAAGTGGACCTGTTTAGAAATAGTTCTTTGGGACAATTTTAGTCTTTTTTGTTCTCAGTCCAGTTCACTAGCAAACACCAAACATGAATCAGCAGCTGTAGTCCAGTCCACTTGGCAGTCACCATACATGAAATCAGCAGGGGCAGTTCAATTCTGAAGAAACTGGAGTAGTGGCAAGAAACTGCAGGAACCTCATGAGAAGTTCTTTAGTGAGTTTCTCTCTATGAAGTGACCACAAGTGAAGATCACCAATGCAATGTAAGATGAAGCAATACATGCCTCTCATCAGTGAAGACTAAGGAACCAGAGCAAATTGAACCAATGGTTGAACTCCTACTATATGTGTGTATATATGTATATGTACATGTACATGTACATGTACATGTGTATGTATGTGTGTATGTATGTGTGTTTATGTGTATATGTATGTATGTGTTCTTTCTAAACATCATGGATTCTTTCATGTGTCTGCTGTATCAAAACATTTTTGCACCTGTGTCAGCTTCAGCAGAACATTCTTTCACGTGTCTGCTTTAGCAAAATATCCATTCATCTGTCTGCCCCAGAAAAACATCATTATAACCTAACTGAGCCTCCAAAGAAACCAGAAACTTCCACTTTTCCTGAGTCTTCAACCTTTAGTAGGTCTCTCAGACTCTTCTAGCCACCAGAACCTCTAATATTCATGGCCTCTGTTCTAGTCTTTGATTCTTAGTGACTTCTTGGCTCTTGTAGACTTAGCTTCTCATGGTTTCTGCCTTTGGTTGTTTTCTATAGTTCTTCAGGACTCTCTGGAGCTCTTGAGTTGTCTCTAAAAGTTATAGCTTAGAGCTATGGGTATCGGAACACTCAGCCCTATTTGACTCTGGAGTTCTTTATGGTCTCCTTACTCCTCACTGTTGCTGCCTGGGATGAAATCCCAGGGTATTGTCTGCTCCTTGGATAACTACCTAGCATGTTCTACCCATGATAAAGGCAAGTATGCAAAGAGGCCATTTGGGAAGAAGCTTTTATTGACCTAATATTGGATACCAGTGTATAGGAGGAAAGAAAGGCTCCCTGCCAAACCCAAAAATGATGGAAAACAGTCTGCTTACTCAGCCAGAAGAAAGACTAAGCAATACTAGTTCAGCTATAATTCTACCTAATTAAAGCCTTACATAAAGTCAGACCACACATATCTCAAATCAGGATGATAAATCAGAAACCTCAGATAGGTACAGTCCCTTTTTTGTCAAGCATAAAGATTTTTGCTCCATCTTTACTGGAGGTGGTTACCAACTTTCATAGGATCACGATTGATAAAGCCTTCCAGAATCATTGTCAAAGAGTACTCAGGAGCACTCGGAGCAGGATCATGTGGTGATCGCTGAAGTTTGTTACGTTGAAGTCATCAACACAAGAACACAGCTCTCAGAGGACATGAGATAGTATTTTTTCTGGAGAAAAGTATGAGTGACCATGTCCTAGGAACACATATTGAGGGTACCCCAAGTTTTATATTCCAATGTGTTAACAGTTTGTTGCAGCTTCTATAGTATCAGAACAAAGGGAGTTATAAAACAGGGCACTTTCAAGATTTATTGCTGGAAACATTAGGCAGTCAGGCTACAGCAAAGCTAGGTAAACACTGTTATAGGCTTTGGATGCTATTTAACAGCATTTTTAGCCCTTAGGTTGGCTGGAAACTAGGTGTCTGTCTGTATATTCCAAAGGATTTACCAAACAGTTACCTAGGTATTGGGTTAGATACTGAGGAAGATGATAGCTGCTTATTAAGGGGTTAAAAATACCTTAAGAAAATTTGATTCTTGAATTGCAATATTCTACCTTACCATGTCCTTGAAGTTCCCACCAGCTTGCACAAGTTCACTGAAAGGTGTGGTTCTTTTCAGGAATTTTCATTCACAAATTTCCTGTGTTTGGTTAAGCTGGGGCAGTTGTGATTAGAGCAAGACCTTCTGAAGTGGAAGCCACAATTCCAGCTGTGCTTGAAGAGTTCTTTGATAATGGTTTCTTCATGGAAAGCTTGGAACATTGATCTAAAGATGGGCTGCCTGGCTGGGCTTCAGACAGCTTCCACAAGGGAATAATCTGGCAGCTCTCATTCAAGAGCTGAGCAAACAAGACAAGAAAGGTTTTTCATCCACTAAAGAGAAAACTCTACAATGTTAAAGGCTGCATTTATGATTTAGAAAATCAACACTCTTAACAGTACTTAGACATATACAACCCATGGCCAAGGCGGAACTGTGTCCACCTGATTTAGTCAGAGCCCTGGGATGTAATGCCTACAGAGCTATGGGAAAATACATGACTGCTATGGTGATTTGTTAATGCTGCCATGGAAACTACTGACAATCTGGACCTCAGAAGTTCTTCTAAGCAAAAACTTGAATGTAGGGAGTTGGCTTTGGAGTTGTGTGTCAGGCCAAAGCTGGAGAAATTTTGATTATTGGTAGAAATGGTATGAAAAATACTCTCAGTAAAAAATACAAGTAACATAGCAGAAAATGGCCTTATACTATATGTAAATTGCTATAGGTTGAATATTACTAGAAATGACAACAGCAATTTTGGTGTCTTAGTTTCTGTTTGGTGTCTTGGTTTCTCTTGCTGTGAAGAAGCACAATGACCATGTCAACTCTTACAAAGGAGAACATCCTATTGGGGCTGGCCTACAGCTCATTAGCATCATGGTGGGAAACATGGCAGCATGCAGGCAAGTATGGTGCTGGAAGAGGTAGCTGAGAGTGCTCTATCTGGACCCATAGGCAGCAGAAAGAATCAGTGAGCCACCAAGTCTGGCTTGGGCTTCTGAAATGTGAAAGCTCACCCCCTGCCTGCCCCCCAGTGATGTACTTCCTCCAACAAAGCCACACCTACTTCAACAAAGCAACACCTCCTAATAGTGCCACTATCTATGGACAGTTTTCTTTCAAACAACCACAGCTGGTGAAGGCTTAGAGAAATTAGGAACATTCTGTTAGAAATTTGGTGTGGAAGACTGTCAAAAGTGAGACTGTCTTATTCTTACTGCTTACAATAAAAAAGGAAGAAAGGAAGGAAAGAAGGAAGGAAAAAACAAAGAAAGACAGAGAAACAAACAAAGGGAGAAAAATAGAGAAATTAAAAAAAGCTATTAGCATGGGAGCCCAGAACTGATGACTTGGGGGAATTCTTAGCACATTGAGATCAAAACAGATTCTAGAAGAGGGAGTGTTGTGAGAAAAACAACTTGTAGCCATAGTCTTCCATTCCCAGTTGACCTGTGATGATGTTACTTAGTGGTTCTATTCTTGCCTGTCTTTAATATACTAAGGTAGGCTAACCAGTGGGAAAAGCAGGCAGTTAACACTCAGAACACTGACTTGTATCAACAGGGTAAGGGCAAGAATATAGCTCAGTTGCAGAGTGCTTGCCTTGTAGGTATGAGGTTCTGGGTCCAGTCCCTAAGGTTAGGCTACTGAAATGAAGCTGTTACCTGGTAGACTTGGAATTTCTCTCATTGTTGACATGGCCCTGTAACACTTTGTTTTGGTTCCCTAGTTCAAACTTTCCATATATATAAAAGAAGTCACCAGGAGAAGAGACAAGTGTATCTTAATCGGTCAATTGTAGTAAGTGATCTGTTTTAATATCTTGAAGGACAGCTCTGCTGAGGTGGGTGTGAATTAAGCCTTAAAGAACAGCTTTAAAAAGTCCCAGCAGTTTAGTGGTGTTTGCATGATTAGTCATTGCGCCTTCTGTTAAGTTTTCAGCAGAGTGAGATGCGATCAGTGGAGATGACTGGTGATTTGAAGCACTTGAGACAGTGGCAGCCGTTGACTTCCTCAATCCATTCGTTCCCTTCTATCTGTCAGTTGCTTAGATTCCCAAACCCCACAAAGGAGACATGGGAAGCGTGCTGTAGCGTTTTCAGCTGATAGATAGTGTTGAGTGCCCTCTTCTCATCCACCCTTCAGTGCCCACTCTGCATCACAGGACAGTTTGGATTAAGGAAATGCTGCTGTGGGTCGGGTGGGAGAGGGATGAGACTCTAGGAGAGGATACAGTTTGGAAACAGGCCATTTGGGACGATAGAGACAACTCAGCTCACCAGCTAGAACTGGCTCTAACAAAGGCTTGTTTTTGTGATTGTTTGCAGAAAGATTACCACTTTGAATATACAGAATGTGATAGCACTGGCTCCAGGTGGAGGGTCGCCATTCCGAATTCTGCAGCGGATTGCTCTGGCCTGCCTGACCCAGTGAGAGGCAAAGAATGCAGTATGTTGTGATTTGTTTTTTTTGACCATTTGTTTTCCTGATTAAACCATAAACTCATCACATTAGTTCTAGATGCCATTAAAATAAACACAAGAGACCTGGCAACAATGTATATGTAGTGTTGATATCTAGCAAAATAATAAGACTTTCTTGAAAATTTTGTTGGTACATTTTTCTTTATTTTGTTTGTAAGCATCTAGCTATGTTTCAAGGATGTATGTAGGTCCAGGTGTGCTATAGTGTGTGTTTGGAGGTCAGAGGACAACTTGTGAGAATTGGCTCTCTACTTCCACCATGTGGCTCCTGGGGATTGCACTTGGGTTATCAGGCTTGGCACTAGGTAACTTTACTCTCTGGGTCTTTCTCAGGACCTTGTGTCATTCTGTCTGAAGTGCCTAATGAGACGTGGGCAATATTTAAGGTTGTTATTTTTTTTAATCTATTTATTTCCTTATTTGAAATTACAGAGAGAAGAGGGACAGAATCTATCTCTGAGTTTTAAAATAATACTTTCTAATTGAATAAAACATGCATCATTTAGAATTCCTCTTAGAGATAACCTTGTGTTGGGTGTGGTGGCACATTCCTTTAATTCCAGCACTTGGGAGGCAGAGGCAGGTAGATCTCTGTGTGTTAAAGCCAGCCTGGTCTACAGAGTGAGTTTCAGGACCACCAAGGCTACAAAGAAACTCTGTCTTGGAAAAAAACAAAACAGGGTGAAGAGAGAAAGAGAGAGAGAGAGAGAGAGAGAGAGAGAGAGAGAGAGAGAGAGAGAGAGAGGAGAACCTTTTCATTTTTGTCTGTCATCACTACCACTGTCTGCAGCTCTCTTCTGGGAATGATTCCTGTTTATTTGTCATAAAAATAGTTTAATTATTTTAAGTGTACCATGTAAAATGACTATGGGATTGTTTGCTAATATTACATCCAATATCTTGTTTTCTGGAAAGTATTCAGTGTTCATAATTAACACAGAGAGATGTGATCAAATTTATTTTTATTTATAAACTACCTTCCAAAACACTGTTTTGTCAGTTAGAAGTTTATGCAGTGAAATAAACAAGCTGTAGCCCTGGGTTCGAGAGTGATAGAGAAACTATTTTGATTTTTCTGTGGTCTTCTGAAAACTTGTAGAAAGCTTCAATTTCCAAATGAATGAAATGGGTAAGCAAGTTATTAAATGGGTGGCCAACTCCTTCTTATTCATACAGTGTGTATGTTACTCATTGGAAAAGTTGAACATTAACAGTAGGTATTATGGAGACTGTAGTAGTTTGACAGATGAAGAACTCAGAAAAAAAATCACCATTATTTTTTGGTGACTGATCCAATGAAAGGATTTCCACGGCGCAGCTTGGGACAGATCACAGCAGGCCAAGATGGTTCCACGAGGGGAGGTTTATTAAGAGAGTGGGAGAGCAAGAGGAGAGAGAGAGAGAAGTAGAGAAGAGTAGAGGCCGGCCATGACCACGTGGAGAGAGGGGGAAGGGAAGGGGGAAGGGAGAGGATAACCTGCAGGTGCTCAGGGTTGAGGAGCAAGAAATAAATGCAGTGAAAACCTGAGAGTCTCCATGGTCAAGCGATCTAGCAAGAGTCAGAAGAGACAGTGGGGTTGATAGAGAAGTAGATGCAGCCAGGCTGGGGTCTTGATAGTCACTGGTGCACAGGATCTGTTCTCAGTGGAAGCAGAATGTGGTTAAAGGAAACTGGAGTCTGTTTAACAATGATGTAGTTGGTTTATTGCAAATTTGTTTCCTAGAAAATATGTATTTGCCAATCCTTTGTACTCTTGGGATTAATTTTTTGGCTCCTTGTAACCAGCCTTATTTGTAGACACTAACTATTCTAAATGCTTACTCTGTGGATAGGAGATGTGTTGGTTTGGGCTAGCTCTGGCTATCCCATTTAAAGAGGACTATAATGGAAGATAGTACCTGTGGGAATTGGTAGTCATTCCGAATGAGGGCCTTACTCTCTAGAAGTCATAATTTAGTACTTATCAGTATACTGTGAATTACACACATTAACCAAGGGTTCCTAATTTTGCTACAAAATCCATGCCTAAACAAGAGCGACTTCTACTTGAATGTTGCAAAGACCTTTTCCGGTCAATATTTTCATAGCATCATTCCATATGTAAAGTTCTGAATTTGCCTTTTCAACAAGAAAAAGTTTTCTAAAACTCCAGTAGTCAAGTCTCTTTTAATCATAATATGCTTTGAAAATGATGCTTATTTTAAAAATAGTACATGATAGCTGGGACACGTTTTATATCAGTTTTTTGTCTGAAATCTGAAGTTGTCTCAGCTCTTGTATGATATATGTATCTATATCTGGCCTTAGAATTTTTTCTTTTTCTTTGTTATAGTAAAAGGAAGTTATTTAAAGCTCACAAGTCAGTTAGCAGATCTAGTTAACTTGGAAACACAGTCACATCATAATATTATGCACATTGCTTCCATATCCCCGGTCTTCAGCACCTTAGATTTCTATTGTTGGTCATAACCACCATTTCTTATTCTGACATCGAGACAGACATGGTGCTTAGAGCTGGATCCTGTCCTTGGTTATCTCAGGAATATTTGCATATGCATAATGAGATATCTTGGGGATGGTATTCACGTCTAAAAACATAACTCATTTGTATTTCATATATATATCTTACATACCTCACCTCCAATTAGTTTTATGTAATAGGAAAAATTTTTTGTCACAGGAAGCAATACAATAGAATTTTCTCCTTCTCGAGAAAATTTGGCATCCCCAGAAAACTCAGACTTGGGAGAATTTGAGCTTTTCAGATTAGGAGTGTGTATCAGCTCTAACAGTCCTTCTACTGGAGGGAAAACATAGGCTTGAAGTGGGACAGTAACTGTCCCCAGTTCTGCATGTGGCAGATCTAAGGCTCCACCACAGATATATTTGATTGCAGAGCCAGCCTGTCTTCATTGAGGATGTGGCCAAGGTGCCTTCAGCTCTCTTGGTACTTAGCAGTTGGCTCAGACAGGAGAAAATAGATTAAAAAGTAGAACATGGTGGCTTCAAGTAAGTTAAAGGGAGTTATGGTGGTAGTTGTGCAGGATATGCTCTTCTCAGATTTATAAATTTTGTCAAACCTAGATGTTGGCCTTTGTGAAACTACTATAGGTTTTTGATGTATAATCACATAGGTCTTTTCTTTTTTTAAAAAGGGGGGGCAGTAGAGGCCTTTCCTGGGGAATAATCATGGAATCAACTTTTCCAGAAAATTGGGTAAACTCTACTCTATATTTGTTTTTTTGAAACCATGTAGAATCAAGTAAGGAGAAGTCATATATCAGCTTTTGTTATGTTGGATCCCTGAATATATGTGATTCTAGAGCTTGTAGGGCTCTGGAAGGGCAGGGAGTGACCTCCGTTAATGACACTGGTTTTGATCTCTGTTGTCCATTTTGCTGGGGAAGAGCTGGTCAGTTTCCTAATGCTGCCCTGGACACTGAGATGGCCTCATGGCTCTGTGTTTCCCTGCTAGCTTCAGCTCACTCCCTGGGAAGTCGGCTGCTTCTCCCAATGCCCTGGTGCCAAGTTTGTTTTCTGTAAGTGCTTACCGTTCCCCATCAGTCTTGCAAGTAGCATGCTTGTTATCTACAGGGTCATGCAGATAGCACATATAGCATATTTATTATCTACCTTACAGGCCTTACAGGGAGCATGCCTCCTGAACCACTGCACTGTTCATCCCACTCTTAGAACAAGAGCCTGTAGCACTCTTTAAACCCCACTGCTGGCCCACTACCCTCTTTTCTCCTTGAAGCAGAAGAGTTTCTAAAGTACTTCTTAAGGCTTGGGGTTCCTTTGATGCTTTTAGGTTGTCAAAAATAGCAATCATCTTTGAGCAATTTCCTACTGCAACCACAGACCCCAGAGACCGGGGCCTTTGGCTTCAAACCAAGCCTTAGAAGTGAAAGGTGCGAGCCTGGCTCTCTTAGGAGATGCGATGGTGAAGAGAGATTTTACCTTTATGTATTTTTAGAGAAGTCTAAACCACTGAAGAAGAAATAAACACATCTATTTCTTTTATATTCTAATGCTTTTTGGTAGAGAGGGCACACATTATTTATTGCTCACTCCTTCAAATATTTCCAAAATCATGATTTCAATAACAGCTTTAAATACAGGATTTTCTAACTAAGAATAACTATTCAAGATATTTTATTTAGAAAGTTTTGTCTTGTAGGCTTTGTCTAATTGAGTGCTTCAGTACTGTTGTTATACAAGTCAATCAATGATACATGGGACATATGCAATGAAATATACAAACAAATATGTATAGAAAAATGCACTATATAAGGAGTAACATGTGTGCATGTGTGTATAGTTTACTTTTGTAATTCCAGTTTTCATGAGATATAACTTTTATACAACTATGCACACATACATTTCTATTTTGATCTTTCAATAACTGGTTGTGAATTAACACTCGTTTTACTTGGATCAATAAGTGCTATGCTCAGAATAGTTTTACAAGTCTTTGGATACATGCTTTTCTCATGCCTTTTTTTACCAAATCTTTTTTATGACTCATATCTAATAGCTTCTGAGAAATGCACAGTTAATAAAATGTGCAGTTGTATTAGACAGATATTCACTTACTTGTAGAGGCAAAAGGAAAATTGTTTCTGCATGTGTGAGAAAAACGGAGATAGATAGCAACATAGTTATGAGCCAATACTACATCAAGATAGAAAAACTATAAATATGTTTAACATGAGAGCCCTTAAGTATTTAAAGCAAACATTGACACATTTGAAGAGATAAATACAAACAATACAATAATGGTAGGAGACTATTTCACTATCTGTATTTCACTTAGAGTAATGAAAGACTCCCCTAAAAGGAAACTGCCTGCAAAAGGTAGATTTGGAGAGTCCTCAGGCAAGAGGGGCTTAACAGATAGAGTGTTGTATCCAGTTGCATCATGATACATATTCTTCTTAGACAAATGTTGAATATTCTGAAGG